GCAGGCTGAGGCTGAGGCACGCTGAGGATGAGGCCGAGGTGAAGGCAGACTGAGGCTGAGGCTGAAGCAGGCTGAGGCTGAGGCTGAGGCAGGCTGAGGCTGAGGCTGAGGCAGGCTGATGCTGAGGCAGGCTGAGGCTGAGGCTGAGGCTGATGCAGGCTGAGGCTGAGGCAGGCTGAGGCTGAGGCCGAGGCTGAAGGCAGACTGAGGCTGAGGCTGAAGCAGGCTGTGGCTGAGGCTGAGGCAGGCTGAGGCTGAGGCAGGCTGAGGCTGAGGCTGAGGCAGGCTGAGGCTGAGGCTGTGACTGCGACTGCCGTTGCCACTGCGACTGTCATCGCGAATGCGACTACGACTGCGAGAACAGCAGAATTCTACAACTGGGTTCTCATCTGAATCTTAAGGGGAATGCTTCCAGATATGCTCCTACACATCGCTGTTAGGTTGCTTTGCCGGGATAATTTTACCTAACAGCTCTTGCTGATAGGTTTCTAGTGGTCTCAAAAGAGAGCATCATGACTCCTCAGGGGGGTCTGGGCGGGACCCGGGGAGGCTGCCGTCGAAGCCGAAATCGCTTGGGACATCCTCGCAAAATCGCTCTTGGTGCTCCCAGAACTCCACTCCCGGGCCACATTTTGGATGCCCGGAGCCAACTGTAGGCCACTTCGTGCTCTTCGACTTCCCAGAACTCCATTCCCGGGCCACATTTTGGATGCCCGGAGCCAACTGTAGGACACTTCGTGGTCTTCGAGTTCCCAGAACTCCATTCCCGGGCCACATTTTGGATGCCCGGAGCCAACTGTAGGCCACTTCGTGGTCTTCGAGTTCCCAGAACTCCATTCCTGGGCATGATTTTGAATGCCCGGAGCCAACTGTAGGCCACTTCGTGTTCTTCTAGTTCCCAGAACTCCATTCCTGGGCCACATTTTGAATGCTGAGGCAGGCTGATGCTGCGGCCGAGGCAGGCTGAGGCTGAGGCAGGCTGAGGCTGAGGCCGAGGCTGAAGGCAGACTGAGGCTGAGGCTGAAGCAGACTGAGGCTGAGGCTGAGGCAGGCTGAGGCTGAGGCTGAGGCAGGCTGATGCTGAGGCAGGCTGAGGCTGAGGCTGAGGCTGATGCAGGCTGAGGCTGAGGCAGGCTGAGGCTGAGGCCGAGGCTGAAGGCAGACTGAGGCTGAGGCTGAAGCAGGCTGAGGCTGAGGCTGAGGCAGGCTGAGGCTGAGGCAGGCTGAGGCTGAGGCTGAGGCAGGCTGAGGCTGAGGCTGTGACTGCGACTGCCGTTGCCGCTGCGACTGTCATCGCGAATGCGACTACGACTGCGAGAACAGCAGAATTCGACAACTGGATTTTCATCTGAATCTTAAGGGGAACGCTTTCAGATATGCTTCTACACATCGCTGTTAGGTTGCTTTGCCGGGATAATTATTTGTTATTTCTAATTCCCCATATCCTAAGATGGGGTTCTTGTTATTACTTGGGCGCCTCCTACTCCCTCTCCTTCTCCCTCCTCCTCTTTCCTCCTCCCCTCCTGTCGGACTTACTCATACTCAGACTTGCTCATACTCAGACTTACTCATACACATACTTACTCATACTCAGACTTACTCATACTCAGACTTAGTCATACTCAGACTTACTCACACTCAAACATACTCATACACAGACTTACTCATACACAGACTTACTCACACCCAGACGTACTCATACACAGACTCACTCATACCCAGACTTACTCATACACAGTATTAGTCATACTCAGACTTACTCATACCCAGACGTACACATACACAGACTTTCTC